CCATAAAGTAACTCAAATGAATCAATGTGAATGTAAGAGCTAAAATTATCAAATCCTAAAAGAAAAGACAGAGAAAAAAAATCTTCATGTCATGGAATTTTGGTGGATTCTTACATGTGACACCCAAAGAATGAGCAACATAAGAAAAAACAGACAAATTAGAATTCATAAAAATTAAAAACTTTTGGCTGGGCATAGTGGCTCATGCCTGTAATCCTAGCATTCTGGAAGGCTAAGGCAGGAGGATGGCTTGAGCATAAGAATTCAAGATCCAGCCTGAGCAAGACCCTATCTCTTTATTAAAAATAGAAAAACTGGCTCAGCACCTGTATGGTTACGACACCAACCACATACCCCACCACATACACCGAGGCTGGCAGGTCTGAACCCAGCCCAGGCCAGCTAAACAACAACTGCAACAAAAAATAGCTAGGTCTTGTGGCAGGCACCTGTAGTCTCAGCTACTTGGGAGGCTGAGGCAAGAAAATCACCTAAGCCCAGGAGTTGGAGGTTGCTGTGAGCTGTGATGCCATGGCACTCTACCGAGGGGGATAGAGACTCTGTCTCTTAAAAAAGAAAAAAAATCATGCTAAGAATCTGGACATAATATAAAAAATACCCAGAAAAGATAAACCACACAGAAAGTACACTGGTGGTTGCTGGGAGCTAAGAGGAAGGTGGCATGGGGAGGGTGGCAACTGTTCAATAGATATGGAGTTTTTACTGGAGCAATGAAAATGTTTTGGAATTTGCTAAATGGAGGTTGTGCGATACTGTGAATGTACTAAATGCAACTGAAATGGTGGGAGATATCTCCCAGGTCTCCCCATATGATAGAACCTGTGTGAGGCCATCAGGTGGCACGAGTCCCACAGACAGCATCGTCTCTTTCAGTTCTAGATCATGACAGAAATTGTCATCTGAATGAAAACAAGTGACTGCTAAGAAGGTAAAGTTGCAGGTACCTGAGCTTTGGGATTTTTTTTAAGCTTGTTCAAACAGGTTTCTCTCTCACACACACTCTCCCATGTGCTCTGACCACGCTGGCAGAACAGACTCACAGCAAGCCTTAGCCAGACTGACAAGACAGGAGGGACTCTGTCCAGTCCACTCAGACTGAGTCTTGCGAGCCTGCAGCAGCCACTCAGATGTAATAGTCACCTGGTCGACCACAAACAAACCTCTTTGCTCTAAGAAGGGAAGCTGGAGGCTTTTCTGGTGTCTTTGGCCTTTGCTCCTTTTTCAATCAATCCTTTACTCCCTCCACATTCCTTAACTTCACTTCTGACTGCCATTTGTGATTCTTTCCACATGCTTTCTTTTCCATTTCTACATTTTCTCATACCCACATCAAAAGCAGTACAAACAGATTTGCTGCAGCTTTCCTTCTAACCTTGCCTGGATTTTAAGGAAAAGGTGGTAGGCCAATGTCGACCACGGGGACCAGGAGCAAAAGCAGATCACAAAAAAAATAAAAATCATCATCTCAAAACAAAGTATGACTCTACCTAAAAGAGAAGAAAGAAAAGTAGCACAATGCAGAAAAACTCTATGAGTTTCTATAGTTACCTATGTTTTTTTGAGACAAGGTCTTTTTCTGTCACCCAGGCTAGATCACAATGGTGCAATCACAGCACACTGCACCCTCCAACTCCTGGGCTCAAGTGATCCTCCTGGATCAGCCTCCCAAGTAGCTGGGCCTACAGGCATGGGCCATTATACTCAGAGAATTGTTTTTCTTTTTTCTTTTTATAGAGATGTATGTGGTCTCAATATGTTGCTCAGGCTGGTCCTAAACTCCTCGTCTCACACAATCTTCCTGCTTCAGCTTCCCAAGTGCGGGGATTATAGGAGTGAGCCACTGTGCTTGACAAAACAGTTGCCTTTTTGTAATAACATCCTTAAATCACAACCAATCCTTAAATCATATTTGTTAAACCATGTTTCATGCAACCTAAAGAAGACTCTTTTAAGTCATGAATTTCAGTCACACAATAAATATTTATTTCAGGAACAAATATGCTCCTGGCACTGTGAAAGCCTAGAGCGGATAGTCTAACAGACTTCAGAAGACCTGCTGATGGCATTAGGATAGCTAGAAACTGGCCATGCATTTGGTAATTCTCTTATACTTTTAATAAACATCTGATCAAACCAATGTTATTATTAGCACTTTGGTCTTTTCTTGATCTATTTCAATTCAGACATAAGTTAGAATATTCCCCTTATTTAGAACATTTCTTATATTCTATCTTACCTCCTATTTGCTGCTGTTCCTTCCCTATTAGAATAAGCTCTTTGAGGGGAGAAAGCCCATCTTGCTCATTTTTGCACAAGTGACTGGCACAGGCTTTGTGGACTCCCTGAATGAACACACAGCACCTGAGGACCACAGACCCTCCTCCCCCACTGGTGTCTCCAGCACTGCCTTCCCAGACCCTATCTCTGTCTCTGTATCTTTCTTCACATCCAGTCTTGCTGCTCCCCATTTATGAACACATTTCTCTTCTTTGACTACTATTTCCTTTTACAAAAAGGTTTTACTGCCTGACAAGAGATTTGGACGTATCTTAAACCACAATCAGAATTGCCAACTGCCTCCTTAATCTACATTATGTACAATCAGTCCGTTTGGTTTTTTTGGTTTTATGTTCGCCTATGCTAATTTAAGCTAGAACATTCTACACCCCAAGTGTGGGAGCCACTGAGAAATCTAATGTAAAATGTTCAAGTGAAAGAAAAGGAGAAGCTTGTTGCATAAAAGATGAGATAAACTTAAAAAAGAAAACACAAACAAACCTAAGTGTGTTAAAACTTTGGGGAGAAAACAGACTCCCAGCCAAATGATCGCATTTCCAAATAGCTCTGAGAATTCTATGTATTCACACATTGAAGGCAATGAAAGGATTAAAAAATAGAAGATTCAATTAGCATTTGATTCGGCAGTTTTAAAGCGAGCATTGGCTGTGTTACAAAAATGAATGTTAAAAAGAAAGGTATAACTTATGTACGATGCCCCCTCCAAGAGATTTTTGGAAGAATTCAAAGTATGAATGCACCATTCAAACAGCACGTACTTATCAAGTTTTACCATCACCATAAGGAGATAGTGGAATAAGACCAGGCCATTATAGGATGTGAGAGGAATGTCTTAGATTCAGGAGAGCAAACTGTTCACATTTTTAGCAAGCACAGATAAAGAACTAAAGCCATCTCTCAAATCTGAAGTTGCACCTAGTCATTTGCTTTTGTAAAATGCAGCAAATTTAGGTCTCCTTTTACAATAAATGGCTCTGCTCATGTGGCTGGGAGACATGGTTTGGGATAAGAACTTCGAGTTCAGATGTACTTTTCAATGGTGGGGCCTTTCAGTTCTGCTTCCTCAGCGATGGAATGCCAATGCCATTCACACTGACCACACTGAGTAGGGCAATATGAATGGGAAGCTATTCTCAAATCTGTTCCTTAATGACTTTTCATGGCATCCAGCAAACCACAAATTTGAATGACTCCCCAAGAAGTATACAGAGGAGAGTGTGACTGTGGGGATGGGAAATAGAACAAAGAGTAAGCCGGCTCTACCAACCGGTCTCCTTCTCAGAGGCTCTGTCCTCTGTGGTGGCTTGCCACGTTCCACCCAACAGCTGCTCATGATAATCAATGTCTGACAGATCAGAGAAAGCCCTTAATGTGTCGCCAAGGGGCAGTTCAACAGATGGCATGGTGACTTACAACCAGAATCATTAATTACACTCTCTTATTAGTCCCAGGGCACCGTGTTGAAAATGCCTCCTTGGTGAAAGATGAGCATTTCAGATAAATGACCGTCTGGTACTGCCTGTGAAACTCTCTTTAGGATTTCTGGTCAGTGCTGATTTCTAAACCCAAGCCATAGAATTTTTACAGCAGTCTCTCATCTTCCATAGACAAGTTGGCCAGGAATATGAAGTTTCCACTACCATGACCCATTACAGCACGCACAATCCCTGCAGGTAAGGACACGGTAAAAACTGCCCATCACTCACTTCCCCTTTCAGGTAGGAAGGCTGTGTTGAAGGCAAGCACAGTTATCTCAGCCACAAAGCAGCTCCGTGTCTCAAGGTTCCCTCCCTCTGTGGCAGAGAACGTTTCCTGAGTCTGAAGGAAAGGCAGCTCTCCCCCTCCCTTATCTACTCTGAGTGGGATTCAAGAGGCGTCTCTTGTAATATATAATGTGAGTGGTTCTCCAGCTCAAAGCTATCCTCCCTTTACAAAACCACCAGTGGCAGCTATTTTCCATGTCTTTTTTAAAAAGAAAAAAGCAGACACTCCTGAAAAGGAAGCCTAGAAACTTGAGGCCAGCAAAAGTTCCCACACATCCACACTGCTGGCTCTGTCATCCCCAGGGACTGAGCACTGAGGTTAAACCACCATGTACTTAATTAAGAAGCCAAAGCAAGTGCACGGTGAGGAAATGTTTCCAAACAGCCTCCCCACGGGCACGCAGAGTAATGTCCTCAACTCAGGGTAGAAATGAGTTGCTTTCCAACAGTTTTGAAAACTGGGCTCCATAAATACTACTGTGAAATTTTAGAACCAACTATAGACAGAGTTTGCAGGCAGATGACTTATTGATCTTAGCACAGATACAAGTCAGAAATAAATAAATGTCCAAACGACTCAAAAGAAAGAAATTTTTAAGTGTTTCCCAAATACTACCAAATCAACAATTCTTTGGCTTTCACTGATGTCTTGTTCTTTTTGTAGCTACAACTAAAATAATATTAAGGTCCTAACTGCTGTGACTAAGAGTTCACTGTTTCCTACAATCCAGTTTGTCCTTCCTAGACACATAAAAACAATTTTTAACTAGGTTCAAATAATTACAGTATCTGAGGGATGTTACCATCTCATGAATTTTTAAAAGATAAAAATGTTAATTAAGTATAATAAAAACCTCCTACTGTGGGCTACAGGAAGGGCAACTTGGGAAATCTGGATCTGCTTTGCAATGTACTCACTTCTAGCTTTTTCTCCTTTTCTGACAAAACATCTTTCTGATTCTGGGTATACTCCACCAACATCCGAGCCAGCTGGCGACGGTCTTCCAGTTCTGCTGCCAGGCGCCCGTTATATTCTGCTAGTAGCAGACATGCTTCATCTACTGTTTTTGAAAGACGTTCAGCCGCCTCTTTGTCTAAGTACAAGAGAGACCAATAAAACAGAGAAAATAAACAAATCACATAGGTACGATTATGAACATTTCTGGGGAGGGTTAGCAATTTTTCTACCAACATGCGGAGTCTAAGAATAAGCCAGAACCTGGGAACAAACAATGGGCTGGCTGACCAAGAAACCCAAAGGCATTCACTCTGTCAACAAGACAGGACATTTCTCAATTACCTGCCGTGAGACAACTGTAGAGGGAGGGGAATCTGGAAAAGGCTTTATAAACACCTAGTCCTGCAAAACTTCCACAAACAAAATAAGCAGAAAGAGATTCTTAGGGTCACGGTGAGATAATTTTTCCTTGCCCTGAGAATGTCAAGTGTTTTTGTTCATTACAGTTGGCTCTTTGTGTCTGTGTACCTGTGGATTTAACCCACTGTGGGTCAAAAATATTCAGACACACACACACACACAAAAAAACCAAAATCCAATAAAAATAACACAACAAAATGCACATTTAAAAATATATAGTAAAACTATTTACATAGCACTCACATTGTATTAGGCATTATAAGTAATCTAGAGATGATTTAATGCATACATCAAACATCATGCCATTTTGCAGAAAGGACTTGAGCACCCTTAGATTTTGGTATCCTCAAAAGACAAGAGAACCAAACCCAACAGTTACTGAGGGTTGACTGTATTTCATTAAGCATTTTTTCCTACATTCTGCTGAAATAAAAAAGCATACACTTATTTCTTCGGTGTGGAAACTAAAAACCAAGAAAAGCTACATGACAGGTTTGAGGAGGCTGAGGAGTTGGGACTCAAAGTCAGGTCTCTAAAATGGAATTATAGGACCCTGCCTCTTAAACTATTAAGTCTTGAGCCTGGTATGAGCCCTTTTCCTGCAGTCAGCAAAATATAAAGTCTGATTAGAAAAAGGCTTTTCTATACTCTTGAGCATGATCTATAATAAAGATACACTTACGTAAACACATATAAAAATAAGTTTTGTGAAACAGTATTTATCCTTAAACGGGTTCTTATCTTCTATTCTATTTTCTTTAAAATGTTGGTCATTACCTATTGGACTGATTTCATGTCCAATTAACAGGTTACTACTCATGGGGGAATAATATAAAAAATGTGCTGAAATATAAGAAAGGGTATTCTTGGAAAGATGTAGAGAACAAAGCCTCAACATTAGGAAATGACAACAAAAGGAGGACTTGTGGCTCGGTGCCTATAGCTCAACCGGCTAAGGCGCCAGCCACGTACACCTAAGGTGGCGGGTTCGAATCCCCAGCCCGGACCCGCCAAACAAC